GGCCGCCTTGCGTTCCTTGCTCGACGCTGGCCGATCAGCTGTGCTTGGCAACGTCTCGACCAGTTTATCCTTTTCATACTTCTGCTTAGCCTCTCTACGCTGCTTCTGAGACATAGATTGCCAAATGAAAGAGGATATAGTGGGTGGTCGGTTAGTCCCTTTGTACTTCCTCACCAGAAAGCCTCCCGCCTCTGAGAACGAGGATCCTTCTTTCGGGATTTCAACTAACCTACCAGTTTTGTGATCAACCGTTTTGATAGTTTCCACCTTGGATGGAGCGGGTTCATCTAGAAGCGTCTCATCCTCCACGTCGGCGACAGCCTCCGGATCTTGTCCCGCTTCTAGGAGAGGGGCATCCTGAATGGTGGGACCAGATTGAGTTGAAGAAACCTTACCCTCTCGAAGGGACTTGTAACGGTCCTGCATCGGGAAAACAAAGTTTCCATCGGGCCTCGTGATTTTGAAAACACGATGTAACTTCACGACGTCATCAAAGTCCGTTTCATTCAGCTCTTTCAACGATGCAACAAGGTAGTCACCTCTCCATAGAAAGCCGGGGTGGATAACATATCCAACAAACACTCCCGGATTGGACGTGGGATCAAACTTCAAGTCCTTCTTTGGTTTCTGTCTTGGGCCAATCCAGTAGTCTATGCGACATCCGAACGGCAAGAACTGACCTTTGAACTCTTCTTCGAACCTAAGATTCCAAGGTGTTCTGGAACCAGAAGGTGGTTCACAAACATTCTGAGATAAACACCAATGCCTTGCGGCGTGCGGCCAGTATGAATGATTCAATCCGGCCTGTGCAAGTGCGACTCGAGTTCCCTCGAGCACGGTTCTGATGCTTCGTTCAGCCACCGCGTTCGATTTGTGAATGTACTCTTGACTGAGGACATGTCTCCAGCCCATCTCTTCAGCTGCAGCAAGTAGCTCGGGGGCATTGTCACTATAATAAAACGTGCCAACCTCGTCTGACGAGGAAGTGAAATGCTGAAACGCCTTCACAGTGGCTTCCGTGTTTCTTTTAGCAAAAGGGTATGCATATTTGAAACCGGTGGCAACGTCACTTATGACAAGAGCAGAGTACTCATCGTCTATGCCTAGTTCCTGTTCGTCTGCAGTGATTATGAAATCGGCTGTGATGTGCTCAGCAAACTTTCGAGCATCAACTTGTCTGGATCCCCCCCGCGAGCGAGAGGGAGACTTGGTCATCTTGGCGCATTTGCACACTTCGCAGAATGGATTCTTTGGCTGGTGTGTCATCAGGTGCTTCCGTGATGCTGCTTCCTGCCTTAGGGCACTTTCTGCAAGTGATCTAGGGCTTTTCTTATCGGGATTGCCAACAACATCTTCCCCTGCCAAATCTTTATCTATCGGCTCAGCATGTTCATTTGGTTTGACTTCGATGGGGTCATCCGCCAGAAGCTCGGCGACAACTCTAGCATGCACCTCAGGGTCCTCTAGAGGGGCAATGCTAGGCGTGTACTCCTCTCCCGCTGCATCTTCAGCTTGCTCGGAGGAGGAGGGTGACGATTCACTCGATGCACTGCTTCTGCCGACCTGACCTTCCGGTCGGCTTGGCGGCGTGCCTTTGGCGGGACATGCCATGGCTGAGTCGCCATCCCACACGTCGTAGTACGGGACATAATCTCGAACTTTGAGATATATTCTCGTCCCGTCAGGCTTGACAAAGAATGGCTTGTCCTTCGCGTACCATATGAAGTCATAACCCTGATTCATGCACTTCAAACCTACAGAAAGAACAGAGGGTGTTTGTGGCAACAAGTATGGATCCGTGTTCCCAAGGTCACCTGCGGCCATGTTGGCCTGCTTTGACGAATCACTTGGTCCATTGGCAGTCATCAACATCACGGGGTCATTTGAATTATAAATTGCATATTCGGGGCAATTCGCACGAGTAAAAAGGTCAGTTCCACTCCCAGTGTCGATAATCCATGAACAGTTCGGAGAGAATCTCTTGCTCGCCAGCGCGGGCTTTGCGCCCATGTCTCTCGGGGCGCATTGCCAGCATCCGATATCGCTGTCACATTCGTATTTGCATCTAGTCGGATGGCCTTCCAATTCACGTCTCACAATGAAGGCGAGCATGGTTGCTCCGAGTCTAGCATCATCTATGCTGATTTCATCATGGAAAAACTGATGGTCGATTGGGTAGACCTTTGAATACACGCGCGGTTTGTCCGCGATCTTAAACTGCTCACCATGTGCTGGTATCCGATTCATTTCAACCTTCGAGCTGAAACGCACGCTCGGGAGGGCAGGCACATGCTTCCAGTCCGACATGAGGTTCCCCTCAGCGATAGGGGCGTTCATCATGGAAGACAACAAGCATCCCAACACACAAACAGCAGCAGGAGAAGGCTTTCCGGAAGACTTTCCCTTGTGACCCTTCTTCTTTTCTCCCTTGGAATCACGGGAAGTGGATCGAGAGGTCGACTTGGAACGATCCCTGCTCGATTTGCGATGCTTCCGATCCTTTCCCTGCTTCTTTTGCTTGTCTGCGGATGGCTCCCTTGACCCTGGAACGGCCGGCTTCGGGTCGATGTGAGCAAACGGGCAGTTTTCACCACGGTCACACCTCCCCTTGAGGTAGAAACGGCACTCTTTCTTCCCCTTTGGGCTATTCGTTCGGCCTTTACCCTTACCCTTCTTAGGCTTAGCGTCCCTTGATGGGGTCCTACCCCTGGCATCGCCCGATGGCTGTTCATGCTTGTACGCGCAATTGTCCCGCCGACACGACCCATACTTGACAAATGCAATGCAAAACCCCTTAGGCACACGTTGGCTCTCAGCGGCGGGTGCGGCTGGCCTACCCCCGTTCTGCCTAGCAACCCGTTCTCGGTTGCGCTCGAGTCTGGCTCGAGACAGGTATTGCCTCACAGATTCAATCAAGTAGGTGTATGAGTGATCGGCGGACTCTTCCGAGGCGCTCAAATAGACATTCAAATGGTGTTGCATTTGCTTACTTTTCTTCAGCTGGTTGTAGAACAGAGCCTCAAGCATGGAGTCATCCGGTGTCTTGGCATTCATCCCTGCAAGGACACCCTCCCAGCTACGCATGAAGGAAGTGAGGTTATCGTTCACGAGCCTCACGTTGAGGAGATCCTCCATGGCATAGGTGGCTCCGTGCTTGATGTTCGTGCTCAGGTGCTCGTGCACCATGAGAAGCACTTGTCTCCCACGAACTGGATTCCTCTTCTGCGCCTCTACCTCCTTGAAGGTGTCGACTTGTCTCGCCAGGTCACCCTGAATGATGTTGGTGAGGGCGGACAGCAACTTGGCGTCCAAGGTGAGGAAAGTACCTGGTTCTTTGAGCTCCTCGATTGTAACGGCGGGCTCCCACACTCTGCTGATCCACGTGAAAGCGTCATCGGGGCGATCGGATGCCGCACATACGGCTTCCCGCACCTTGATGCGCCAATTCCTGTAACTCTCAGGAAGTGGGAAGGAGGGGATGATGATCCTCTCCGCCTCCTTGACCTTGGGTTTGTCATTGTCTGCGTCCACAGCGGTCGTCTGCTTACCCAAGATCTTGTTGAGCTTCTTGCGGATCGCTCGAGCTTTCTCCGAAGATGATGATGAGGATGATGACGTTGAGGAGCTGGACGATGAAGAGCTCGGAGAGTCGGAAGGAGACCCGCCCTTTCGTTTCTTGTGGCTCTTCTTCTTCTTCTTTTTGTCCTTCTTGCTCTTCTTCTTTTTGTCCTTCTTCTTCTTCTTCTTGTCCTTCTTGCTCTTCTTCCCATCGTCATTCCCGTCGTCATCGTCGTCGTCATGATCATCATCATCATCGGGATTGCCGGCAGGTGGTTCCCCACCGCCTCCGCTCTGGCCTTTACCTGCGCCTGATGGATTTCCACCACCATCGTTTGGGTCCTGTGCCGGAGATGTCGGTTCGTATTCCTCGGCATCCCCGTCAAGATCATCGGCGGCACCTGGCCCATCACGGCGGAGTTCGGTAGAAGCTGACCTGATACGTACCTTAGAACTAAGATCCAGGCCGGGAGGAGGAAACGTCTGTACAGGAGAGGCCTTTGGCCTCAGACCGAAAATAGGAACATTAGAAGAACTACTCTGCTCACTGCGAGATTTCAATTCATGACGTAGTGCCTCAATGTCCCTCGACTGCTTCATGATAATCTCCCTCATTTCAGCAGCGCTCCTGTCCGCGTCCTCCTTCTGCTTGTTGTGGGTGACTTCCCAAATCAATTTGAGCTGTTCATACTTCTTCTCAGCTTCCAAGCGTTGAGCAACCCACTGCTGCCTTGCCTCGTTGAACTCTCTTTCCTTCGCCATTGCCTCTTGTTGGCATACGTTGATGTGGTTCACCGCGTCCTGATAGAGTCGGCCTTTTTCCTCAACATGGCCTGCTTGGAGCTGATTGATGATGGCGTCGTGGCGTGCCGAAGCATAGGCAGCCACTTCCTCCGTACTCGGACCTGTGTTGACCACATTCACCGTCTGGCTATGTTGATATATGTTCGGGGCGCTCACATGATGTTGATGAAGGTGAGTCTCATTCTTAGTCATGTGCGCGTGCATCTCTTGCCCAGGTTGATGTCCGGCGAGAGGTTCCCCTCCGCTTCCCATTGAATCCTCCGGAAGGACGACCGAAGTGATGGGCACAAGCGCATCGCCTTGGTCGGACTCAGGAAAACTGCTTCGGGAGCGCTGTGACGGATTGCATGGCGGTTTCCCTTCCGGATGACCACCCTTGATCAATTCGTTGGCCACTGCTTCGTTCATCCTTGCTATGGCAGGGTGGCATCCGTCGCCGCTTGACGCCATTGCGGCGCGGGTGAGAGCTGACTGTACAAGGTACCAGCGATACGGCTGATAACCTGTTGAAAGGTGGGATCTACCTAAATGTCAGCACGGGCGGCAGTCAATTTTTCTTGAGCCAGTATCATGTCGGAATGCCACTACCTATCAACAAGACGGAACAGGCCCGTGCGCATCCTGGCTGGGGTGCCCGCGTACTCGTCGAACTCCATGACCGGCACCTGGCTCTTCGCGTGCCGTGAGATCACTTCTGCTCGTAAACAGCACCTGTCTACGTGAAACACTGTAAAGCACAAACAGCTCGGCCGCTTACGACTGTCCCTTCTCACCTTGATGCCAAAAGGGAAATGAGGCGTGCATCAGAAGCAATGATCTCCCATCCGGGGTGAGTGCAAACTTAATTCATAGCCTTACTCCACTCAAACCTGTTCGACTTGAAAGTGGCAACCTGTAACAATGTGTCTGAGTCGGTCTGTGCATTCCCTCCAAAAGCCTGAGGATTGCTTTCCCAGCGCCCCAGTCACGAGGCTGGCAGATGTGGGAGACCCTCAATAGGCTCCCTCTGGGGGTCTTCAAACCTCTGCCTCAAAAAGGACAAAACCACACGGTTCAAACAAGTTCATCAAATGGACTCTAGGATGCTACATAATTTACCCTGCGATGCAAGCTGAAAATGCCTGTGTTTCAGCCCGTTGGTCCCCAGAATGAAGCCAAAGAATGCTTCAAGGAACACCCCTGCGGAATGCGCCCCATGGTCTGCTAAGGTTCATCAACACAAACCGAGGGTCTGTCCCAAAATGAGGAATCTGTTTTTCGCGGCGATTCCTTTGAGGGAAACCCGAATCCCAGAGCCCCATGCTTGGGCCAAATAGGGTCCCCTCAATAGTCTCAGACAAAGGCTTTTATAGGTTTGGGGTCCCTACCTGGACGGGTGCCACATGGTCCCACATCAGAGTGGGGGTGACGGGGGCAGGCTCGGAACCACCCGATTTCTCGCCGATGGGACGCCCGGACCACTCTCGGCGCTGGCGTGCGTCATGGGGCCTGCGAACTGTGCAGGGCCTTGGAGTCGAAGAAGGTACGCCAATAGACCTGAGCAACAGATATCGGTCTTTCTCACAATATTAGCCACCTGCAAAAGGATTCCTTTTGGCTTTCCGTTAAATACCAGCTTTCAGGGGTCCAACCTTTTGAGAAAGACCCATATGGGTTTAGGCTGTATAAGTATAAGTATGAACCTGAGCAGATATGTGTGCTGTATAACTGTGTCAGGGTAATATGGACATGAGTTTTGATAGGGGGCCCTTTGGCGGACATCAGGTTTCCATGGGGATTCATGTACACCAAACACGTTTGAGAGGTTGTTCCCTAGTAAACAATCATAGTCGTACGGGTATGTGTCAAAGGGGGGTTCCACAAAAGATGTCTTTCTTTGGTTCCCCTTTGAACCATCGTGAAAAGGGTACCCTCAAAACAAATACCTTTCCCTCTTCCCAATTCACGTGGGAATAAGTCTCCTTTCTTAATGGGAATGTGGCGAGTGTGCCAATGGTCTTTCCCTTGCTACAGCAAATGATGATGATTTCGAACGGCTGGATTCGGGGAAGAACCAAACTGTTTTCACGCTGCTTCTTTTGGAAACTATCAGCATGAGACCATTCAAAAAGCGGAAATCGTTCTTAAGTGTCCACTGGGGTGGGAGCTGGAAACGGGGGCTGTGAGTGTTCTCCCTTGCCCGGCAACTCAGGGGACCTGCACCATCAGATCTCTGAGTGCTTGGCGTGGTCTGGGCCGGTCCACCAGTGAACTACCTGCAAGTCTGGATACATGACAAACCGATCTGCCATGACGATCGCAGAAATTCTGCAGGGGCGCAACAGCCCAAGTCCTTTCAACTGTTACGATTCCATGAGCAAAACGCACACACTCCAAGCTGGTGCTGCTTTTTCAGCCGAGCAAGGACATAGCCTTCATCGACGCGCACATTTGGCGCGGCGCAGGTCACCCCATGCAGCGTGCTTTGTGGTGAGACGCTGCACAAGGCGACCTGGGTGTTGTTGGAATCTCCTCGTTGCAACCGCTCAGTGGCCCCCGGCGTTGAAGCCGCTGCACTGCTTCATGCTTGGGCGGCATGCCTTCTTCACGCAGCCGGTGCAGGCGGGGCTCTTGTCATTGCTGATACACTGATTGAGGCACTTGTCGCGACTGCACTCCACCAGGTGGGCCATGCAGGAGGCACAGCCAGCGGAGTAGCCCTTCTTGCTCATGCAGTCCTTGGTGCAGGGGAAGCCAGCAGCACACGAACGGCCGCACTGGTTCAGGGAGCCGTCGAAACTCTTGCGACCACCAGACTTCCAGGTGTGCAGATCCGCATGGTTGGTGCATGCTCCGCTGCCCTCAATGTCATCTTCGACCTCAATCTCCTGCTCCTCATCCTCATCGTCCATGAGGGCTTCCAAGTAGTTCACCTTCATGCCACGCAGCTGGTTCAATTCCAGGCTGCAATCCTCGCCAGCAGCGCATGCGTCATCTGCTTCCAACGCCGTCTCCACATCTGCTGCTGCCACAGCCAGGAACAGCATCATCAGGCGATACATCATGGTGGCGACAGTGGGTAGGAGATAGGATAGAACGCTTTCAAATGAAGGCTAACAAAGCCAAACGCTGCCAAACTGCTGCATTAGGTGAATTTAATGACAAGGCAAGGCGCTGCCACTCAAGTGCGGCTCTACCACAAGGACAACCATGCGGTTTTACAAGCGATAATAAGCCAGAAAAACAAAAAACTCCCTGCACTCGCAAATCTTTTTTTGGGCGCAGCCCTACTGCATTTCTTCAAATGCATTTGAGTGACTGATCATTGACAAACTCACCGGAAGGACGTGCCGCACCCACAAATCCGCCGACATTGCTCGGCGTGTCGGACACCCAACAAAGGATAACCCCCCCCCTTACCCCCCCCCCCCCCCAACGTCTGATACGTTGGGGGGGTTCCGTAGGATGGGCACATGGGCACCATTTGGAAAAGGAAACCTTCATCCAGGAAGGTAGCTTGCAAAGAACTGTCGCCAAATGGCGCAAACCAATCCGATCAGCTTCCGGTACGATGAGTCCGCGTCCGATGGGTCCGACGGGTCCGATAGGCCCGATGGGACCGCGAGCGTCGATCCGATGATGAGCCCGTCTGTGATGGAAAATGTGTCTGCGCAGAGCGATGATTCGGACAGGTCCGATGGATCTGACGGGTCCGATGGGCTTGATGGGACCTCGGGCGTCGATCTGATGATGACTAGATGGATTGAGGATGTGTCTACTGATTACGTGATGGGTTCCATTGGTCCGACGCGATAGGCCCGATGGGACCTCGAGCGTCGGTCCGACGATGAGCCGAGCCCGCCGAGATTGTGTCTGCTGAGTGATGGGTTCGATGGTCCGCCTTGTGCAGAGCCGATGATTCGGACAGGTCCGACGGGTCCGACGGGTCCGATAGAATGCAACTTTGCCGTGGCAGTATAGCGCAGCGAGTCTATGTTGGTCTTCCTCGTTGCTTGTTCAGTTATCCCAAATAGCCCCGCTGATCGAGGAGCACACGCAGCCACCTCGCATGGTGTCAGTCTGATAAATCCACCCCTTCCTGATGGTCGCCCGATCGGTCCGGTGGATCCGATGAGTTCGATGAGTTGGATGAGTCCGATGGGGCTGACGAGTTTGGTGTCCGCTGAGTCCTGGGCCCCACCAAGATGAGCCTGACATTTTGATGAGATTCGTCCGATCGGTCCGGTGGGTCCAATGAGCCCGATGAGTCCGATGAGCCCGATGGTCTGAGGTGTCCGCTGATTCCTGGCGCTGAGTCTGATGAATGAATCCAATCGTTGATGATGGCTCCCAACGAGTCAGACGGGCCCGAGAGTCCGACGAGCCCAAGAGTCCGATAAGCTCGATGAGTCCCGGAGCCGATCAGTCCGACGCTGGACTCCCCGAAGCGTGACGGGGCCTTGACAGGTTGGCCCAATCCGATCCAAATCATTGATGCTGGTTCCCAAAGAGACGAGCCTGATGAGTCCGGTAAGCCCGATGAGTCCGATCAGACTGGTCAGCTCTGCAATGCTCTGCATGACAATGAGTGCGATTGGCCCAATCAGTCCGATGATCAGTTCTATGGGCTCATTATGTAAGTCTCAGTGGCCCGATGAGCCCGATGACTCTGGTCAGCCAGTCCGCAACAAGTTCCCAACGTTCGAGGGGCCTGATGGGTCTTGCGTGAGTCCCATGACCTGATGAATCCAAGGTGTGACGCAGCCCGATGAGTCCGATCACTCTGCTGGGTCCGACATGCGACGTACCACTAAGCAATCCACGTCATCCGCCAACTGACCTCCAAGCGTCCAAGGCACGGGGGGGGGGGGGTCCCACGTACCGCGCAGCAACTTGATGATGTTCAACTAAAAAAATGTCTTCGGGGAGCTGGTGCAAAACAGGGGTCCCAGGCTCGAATCCCCCTGCCAGCTCTTTGCCGGTTCGGGTTTTCTGGCTCCTTTTGCTGAAAATCTGAAAGAACTGTGTTTTTGACATCCTTTTGCGAAAACGTGGGAAACATCGCGTTCTTTTTCGAGAAAAAAAATACCTTTTTTTGGAAACAAAAATACCGGGGAGCGAAGGGGAAATGCAAGGACGTGCAGGGAAATGAGGGGAGGAAATACAGGGAAACGCAAGGACATGCAGGGGACAAGAAGTCGACATGACAGGAAAGCAAGGGGAAATGAAAGGGAAACGAAGGGGAACTGAAAGGGACATGAAGGGGAAAGAACTGAAAACGGGGGGTGTGAAGGGGGAATGAAAGGGAAACGAGGGGGAACTGAAAGGGACATGAAGGGGAAAGAACTGAAAAAAGGGGGTGTGAAGGGGGAATGAAAGGGAAACGAGGGGGAACTGAAAGGGACATGAAGGGAAAGAACTGAAAACAGGGGGTGTGAAGGGGGAACGAAAGGGAAACGAAGGGGAACTGAAAGGGACATGAAGGGGAAAGAACTGAAAACAGGGGGAGTGAAGGGGGAATGAAAGGGAAACGAGGGGGAACTGAAAGGGACATGAAGGGGAAAGAACTGAAAACAGGGGGTGTGAAGGGGGAATGAAAGGGAAACGAGGGGGAACTGAAAGGGACATGAAGGGAAAGAACTGAAAACAGGGGGTGTGAAGGGGGAACGAAAGGGAAACGAAGGGGAACTGAAAGGGACATGAAGGGGAAAGAACTGAAAACAGGGGGAGTGATTGGGAATGAAAGGGAAGCAAAGGACAAGGAAACCAAAGGACACGAAGGGAGATGTAGGAGAAAATGACTGGCAATGAAAGCAAGGGACATACATGGAAAATGAAGCGGACATACCGATAAAATGACAGGAAAGCAAGCATGAAGGGGGAATTGAAAGGAATGGAAGGGGATATGACGAGGACATCATGGGAAATGACGAGACATGAAAAAGGTCATGAAGGGGAAATCAAGGGCAAAGCCAGTAAGCAGACTATTCAGGGGTCATGAAGGGGCAGTGCACGGAACTCGAAGCAACTCAGGTGGGACATGAAGCTGCAATGCAAACAGCGAGAGAGAGAGACAGAGACAGAGAGCGAGAGAGGGAGAGAGAGAGAGAGAAACAGAGACGGAGAAAGAGTCAGGGAAAGAGACAGAGAAAGAGAAAGACAGAGAGAGAGGCATAGCGAGGATGTAGAGAAAAAAAAAGAGACATAGAGAGAGAAAGAGAGAAAGAGAGAAAGAGAGAGAGAGAGAGAGGGAGGGAGAGGGAGAGAGGACGAGGGAACACAGGGGAGGAGAAAAGAGAGAGAGGAAGAAGGAGAAAAGCGAGAGGACAATGTCGGCGGAGTGAGCCGGAGGCTCTAAAGTAAAAAGCATGCTCTGATACCAGCCAATTCTCCCATTTGATAGCATGCGTCACAACAGGGGTCGTCCGCCGCTCTGAGACGAGCTTCTTACAATGCCCGCCTCAGCCGTGGCAGCTTGGCTGGACCAAAGTAGAGGCTTGACATCAGACCAAAAACAATTCTCTTGAAAGCACCTCCCAAGTCAGAACCCTCCCTAAACAGGATGTTTAACCACCAGTTGACCATTGAGTTGAGGCAATGTGAAACTTGGATGGCAATAGGGGGAAGCAGAAGCACGCGGGCGCCCTCTGAAAAATGAGTAGAGTTGCCTTTTTGTTTGCCGAGGTGTTTAAACCATGGGTGTGTCTACTGTACCTTCAGAAATAAAGGTGCATGATTTCCCTTGACTCTCCCAAAAAGCCGCACGACGGCTCTTGATTTCCCTTACAACCAATCTCCGCGGCCCCAAGTTGATCGCTAGGATGCCCTTGAACTTGTCAATTGTGAGCCACAAACATATCCATCTCACCCTCCCTCCCTCAAAGTCGATGTTGAGTTTTCAGCCTTTGGTCGCTGGTTGGAGGACATTGCCTGTGACATTGTATTGTGTTGAGACGCTGCACAAGGCGACATGGGTGTTGTTGTGCAACCGCTCAGTGACCCCCGGCATTGAAGCCGCTGCACTGCTTCATGCTTGGACGGCATGCCTTCTTCACGCACCCACCGCAGGAAGCGCCCTTGTCATTGCTGATGCACTGATTGATGCACTTGTCGCGACTGCACTCCACCAGGTGGGCCATGCAGGAGGCACAGCCAGCGGAGTAGCCCTTCTTGCTCATGCAGTCCTTGGTGCAGGGGAAGCCAGCAGCACACGAACGGCCGCACTGGTTCAGGGAGCCGTCGAAACTCTTGCGACCACCAGACTTCCAGATGTGCAGATCCGCCTGGTTGGTGCATGCTCCGCTGCCCTCAATGTCATCTTCGACCTCAATATCCTGCTCCTCATCCTCATCGTCCATGAGGGCTTCCAAGTAGTTCACCTTCATGCCACGCAGCTGGTTCAATTCCAGGCTGCAATCCTCGCCAGCGGCGCATGCGTCATCTGCTTCCAACGCCGTCTCCACATCTGCTGCTGCCACAGCCAGGAACAGCATCATCAGGCGATACATCATGGTGGCGACAGTGGGTAGGAGATAGGATAGAACGCTTTCAAATGAAGGCCAACAAAGCCAAACGCTGCCGAACGCTGCGTTAGGTGCTTGTCCTATACGTGGCCCGGCCTTGGTTTTGTCTTACACTCAAGTCCGACACCTTGAGACTAGGGGTTGGCGAGTTGCCTTGGCTCACCTGCCAGCTCGCCAAGTCCCAGGCCCCCCCCCCCCCCCGCCATTGTTCGGCGTTCAAAGGAGCCCCCACCCACAACCAGGCCAACAAACTGGGTGTCTCTTTCTTGCAGGCTAGCCCTTGCTTCTTTTGTAAGGCAAACTTTGCAAGGTAATGGATAGACAAACTCCAGGTCGGTTTTTATCTCCCCAACTGGGTGCCACAGGATCCTTTTCGTGCGCCTGGCACCAGGGCGGCAGCACCAGCACCAAGCGCGCGCACTCGCCCTCCGTCTTGGACCCACACTTTGCCGCCAGGGCCTCATCTTGCCCCATGTGCCGAGGGGCCAGGCAAAATCAACGGGTTGCATGAAGGTGTCAAAATGGCTCCTGAACAAACTCGTTAGTTTTAGGCTTTATTGCCTCTGAATCGCTTTGAGGGGATGGTTGAGGATAAAGACTTATTTCCCCAAACTTGGTTGAAAAGGTCTGAAGCCCTGATTGTGAACCAGGTTGCAGGAGCTCGCTGTTCAAATGCTTCCAACCATGTCCCATCCGATTCGGTGAAAACTGGTGAAGTTATGGAAGACTGGGAGCAAATCGGGTGTGCAGCGCTGAAGACTCACCTATAGAACAACCCTCTCCAAGTCACACACCTCCACTGGGCACGGGAAAAAGAACACGCGTTTGTTTCTGGTAGTTGATTTTAAAGGGGAACCCCCCCCACCCCCCAACAACAAAGGGAAGCGGTCACCACTGGGGGTTACCTTGACAAGCACCCAGCCTTGTTCACTTCAGCCACCACCCAGCCAGCGCGAGGGTAAACCTGGATAGCACGGAGGAAACTGGCACAAATGGATAGCCAGGGGTTTTGTGCTTGCTGAGTTTTGGTGGGAATCAAACAAGGACCACGATGCCCTCGTAGGGGCTGGTTGACTGGTTGGAAGGTGCATTCCCAGTTTCCGTTTCCCAGTCCGGACAAGACAAGGTGCGCTTGTGCATCACTGATTACCGTGACGTAGCCACGTAGGGAGGGCGGGCAGGAAGCACCGATGTTCAAAACATCACGCCTGCTTCCCACCTTTCCTGCCATAGCTACACAGCACGCGCACACACACACACACACACAGACGCCTCGCGCCTCGCGCTGAAGATTGAAGCCCTCCCCGTACTTTGTGTCATAGAGCAGGAAGCGCCTTGATTGGCCTCGAACATTTCGTTGGAGCAGTAAGCTGCGAGCTTTTGGGGACCCGTTGTCATATTGTCCCTGCCTTTAACATACTTCAAAGGGATTTTTGTTGCGGGGCATTTCACAAGAAATCCCCTGCCTGGTTCAGGGAAGATTTGCGAACTGGATCAACAATGCAATCCACAAGGCAAAGGCATCCCAACTCAATCAATAGCGATACCACAAATCAAGTGCGCCCAATGTTCAGATTCTGATTCAGCTTCAGTTTATACAAAATCTAACTCCATTTGGAGGAGACCCCAGGCTAGTGCGAGCGAGGGTACCCATATCACGCGATGCTTTCCGAGTGGAACTCGGCCTGCCGTCGCAGCGCAAGACTCCCCAGCAGCGCAGGTACCTCACAGCGAACCGGCGAGTCATGGCCAGTGAGTGCAGTGTTGCTCCCCCCCTCCATCGTTGGTAGACCACTTGCAAATGGTGCAAAGCAAAAAAAAAAGCACCCCAGCAACGATACCCATTTTCAAATGGAAAACTGAGGAGAAGAGTACTTCTGGACTCTTCTAGAAGGCCAACCAGCCAAACGACCGAATTGCCCGTCAATTTTGGCCTGACATGTCGGGCGGAGTCCCTTGTTTGACCATGCTTAAGCACCTCATGTCTAAACTCCATACAGCTTGGTTGTTGGAAACAAGTTTGGCTCAGCCTTTGGTACCCTGCTCACCCCATCTTTGGGGGCCGCTCCACTGAGGTTCGTTCTTTGAAAGCAAGTCTTGTCCAACTTTGGTTGGTATCTTCACCCCAACTCTCGTTGGGCCTCATGGCTCCATCCGCCCATCCGGCCTTCCGCCCCCTTCTGCTCCTTCTGCTCCTTCGGCTCCTTCGGCTCCTTCTGCTCCTTCGGCTCCTTCTGCTCCTTCTGCTTCGCGCCTGGCGAAAGAAGAGGGCGCCAGAGGTCAAGGAGCCTAGAACACAGGTCTCAATGCGGCAATTTCGCCAGTGTGTGGGCTGCCCTTGAACATCGCCCCGAACAAGGGTACCCTGAACGCCATATTGATGTATCCGAGCTAAGGCAAGTTTTGCTGAGAAACACCTTCCATAGGGTTGCTCCAAAGACCCTGTCACCCAGGGTGGACACAAAAACCCGAGGGCCCACTCCAGTTTTCCGCCCTTGGTGCTTTGGTGAGCGACCCTGGCACGTGAAGCTGAGACGGCCTGGGCAGCGGCTGACGCACATGGCCAGCTGCACCTTGTACCCCTCATCATAGCACATGCCTCAGCCCGATTCGAATCAGCGCTGTCTGCGGGGCCACAAAAAAAGGGCCGTCTTGTGGGCAAATCTGAATTAAGGGGACCCTTTGGTGGACGTCATTTTGGCGTGGATTCCTTCCATAAACCACGTTTGATGTGATCCCCTGTCGAAATTCACAGCCATATTTGTGTGACCGTCCCTCGTACTAGAACGTCTCAATTTGTAGAGCCAATCTGATCAGCTGTCACTTGCCCACCACCAGGGCAGTCACAATCAAAACGTAGTACAATAAATCTCTCCCCCAAAATGTACAGAATCTACCGGGCGAATATCCGCACCGAGTTCACTGGGGCTGTCCCCTTCTGACCTTCTGCCAGAGTTTCACCACGGCAACTTTTATTCCGAGGACCCTACATGCTGGCTGATCGTGCGCAGCGGCACCGGGCGCCAATTCGGAGCACTTCCTCGTCAGAAGGTTTGCACAGGCAGTCCAATGATTAATCAAGTTCTCGGGAACGCAGGAGAAACCGGAGGGGTTGCCTGACCCAAGGGATGTGGAGGGAGTTACATCTGATCCTCCCCCCCGCCCCCGCAAAATCACTCGGACAAATACCGCCTCGGGAAGGCGGCATCTTTTTCTGCTGTTTTTACGAGCAAAAGGGGACCCACAAAAATCATGTTGCATGTCCGGACCTCCCACTTTTATATGTTCGGTGATGAAGAGGGCGACAAGTTTCTTAAACGAAAACTTCATGGAAACTATCAAAACCAGTAAAAGTGAGTGAATGATTGGCTTGCATCCTTTAAAAGACCATGTCAAACTAAGACCACACAAAACACAGGCATGATAAAACTCCTCACGTGGGCGGTTATGGTTCCCTTCATACAACCCTTGCAATGGTGACCTAAATTCTTGATTTGGCCATCCGAAAGCCTACTCCGTAATCTGCAATGGGACACCATTCAGGGAAACCCAACAGTTGGCATAAGGACAAAGAATTCGTCTTGAATTGTCCACTTTCTCTTTTCTGCTGAACCTGCCCCAAACATTGTGCAAATAAGCGCTCGCTTGCTCGTTTGAAAACCAGCCCACACAAACATACCACCAGCTTTCTCACCGTCTCGGATTGAACCCTTTGGTGGACTACACGCAACCGTCAAACGGTAAACGCGCTGCAGAGTTGACCTTGAGAAGTCCTTGTGTTGCGTTTCACTTCATTCGCGCAACCCTCTGCGGACTTTCGGCGACCTTCGAACACACATGGTCTTTTGCGTTTGTCGGATGATAGATAGGAAAGGTAGACAAATGCAAAGCAAGAAAGAAAAAGATAGACAAATAGATACACAGAATGTCCCAAAGATAAAGACATAGATGACTGGCAAGATACGTGGAAAGGTAGATGAGAAGATAGACAAATGACAGCAACTAGCAGCGAAAAGAAAGCCTGAGAAATCCACCGACCCCTTGTCCGGAAAGGGGAATGCGTGTGGGTTCTGCTTTATATGAAGACGAACCCACACAACCAGATACATATTTTATATACGTGTAACAATTTACTACGCATAGGCGTATGTTGACAAGACAGTATGATGTTACTACTTTATGTGTTTAGAGGTATATACTATCTATGATTATATACATAATTATTACATAGATGATATATATATATACTGCTCCGCATCTAGGCCGATACCTACTGATACTGCAAGCAGCGCAAAAGCTTCGTTGGAATTCTTTGCAAGCACAGCTGGCATAAACACCCTCGACGAAGGAATGCCTGGAATCTGCACCTCAGTTGCCTCGACGCAACTTCTTATAGCGCAGGTCAGCAAGCCCAAACAGAAGGCACACAAATAACAGTTATGATTATGATCTCACCGCATAAAGGCAGAACCTGCCCCATGACAGTCATGTCACTTGCAGCAATCACAACTCGCTTTAGCTGTGGCAGAGCCACTTGGCAGAGCTCACGCAAACACACACGTGCGCGGCGTACGCACTCAGCCAAACATTCCCGTTTAACTTCCCATGGAGCGCCTGCATGTAGGCTCACACACGCAAAGCAGCACAAGCTTCTGGAACTCTTCGGAAATTCAGCCAGGACGAATGCCACCTGTGACGAAGGAAACCCGGAATCTGCCACATCACATGCTTCGACGCTGCTTGTTATAGCGCAGACCAGTGAGCCGAAGCCAATCTCACTGACATAGTGGGAGACAGGAAGTACATCTTTGTTCCACAAGTTTGCCCTTGCCCTTCGTGAGTTGGCTTGCTGTGAGTGGGCGATGGTCATGATCACGGTTTGGCTTGGCAGGTTGTCATGTTTGAGAGTCCCAATGTTGATTTGTGCGGCTGTTGCGTGCAGCACTATGTCTCGTTGCTGCGCTTGCTTGGCTTGGATGCGTTTGTCCGATGGCCGCGCGCGAAAGATGGAGAGAGAAAGGGACAGAGAGAGAGAGAGAGAGAGAGAGAGACAGAGAGAAAGAGAGAGAGAGAGAGACTGAGAGAGAGTCGAAACTAGAGGCTGCAAGCAAGCCACGCGCGTTTTCTAAACTGTAAATAGCGTGCAAACAACTGAGGTCTCACGCTGCAGCTACCCCAGTGTCTCGCGAAAGGTCACTCCACAACAATCCTCCTGCACAGGAAACCGGAACTGCGAGAAAGGCTGTCAAAACCAAACTGCTCTTAAGCAACATGCCACATCTCACAAGCCCTGCAACAAAAGCAGAAAAGCAACGGCAGCCACCCCCGGGCGAACGCTGGAGGACCGAACCCACACGCAACCATTTCGCTGAAGCCTGCAGTTCTGGAAGTCCAATGTTTCCGCTCTACTTCTTTCCATCACTCTAAATCTAACCGTCGCTCATGTGCATGGGGGTTTGCGTCCGCCAACCACTCCATTGAAATTCACTGCAAGCAAGAAACCGTAACTTTCCTGGCCTGTCATTAGTCATCACTAGTTTACTTCTAAAGCTTTGGAGAACCCGTGGCTCTACGGTCCATAGATCTTGCCAATCCTGGTGATCTGGTGTTGCCATTCAGCCCATCTCCGATCTTTCCGACCCAACAGTTCCGTGCGCTTTGCGATGGATCGCGCATATGCTTCGGAAATGAAGACGAGCCCAGAAGAACATTATACCCATTTGCCCAAAACGCTGCCGAACTGCAACGGAACCGTCAGATGTGGCCGTTTCCCCAGCTGAAAGCTTTGGGGTAAATAGCCGGAGTTGTTCGGAGCTCCGGGCTCCGGTTCCGGAAGAGTTCCGACTGCTGTTCCTTGGGGAATCAAGTTTGGCAACAGAAAAGGTACGGTGGA